GCTGAGCTCCATGTTGGGGCCCCTCGGGGCGCCCCCCAGCGGCCCCCCCGAGAGCATCGCCGCCTTCCTCAGCCGCCTCAGCGGGACCCCCGGGCTGCTGGAGGGGTCCCCGGGGCCCGACGGTGGGGCTGGGGGGAATTTGGGTGGTCTCCGGGGCACGATGGTGGGTCTGGGGGCTTCTGGGGGGGATTTGGGGAGTCCCCGGAGCCTGACGGTGGGTCTGGGGGCTTCTGGGGGGGGTTGGGGGGATTTGGGGGGTTGGGGGGTCTGGGGGTGTTTGGGGGGTGTTTGGGGGGGATTTGGGGGGACCCTCTGGGTGCTGGAGGGGTCCCCGGGGCCTGACGGTGGGGCTGGGGGGTCTGGGGGGGATTTGGGGGAATTTGGGGGTGATTTGGGGGGGATTTGGGGGGTCCTCAGGGCCCAACGGTGGGGCTGGGGGGGATTTGGGGGGGTTTGAGGGGGATTTGGGGGGATTTCAGGGGGATTTGGGGGTATTTGGGGGGTCCCCGGGGCCCGACGGTGGGGCTGGGGGGGATTTGGGGGGGATTTGGGGGGATTTGGGGCACAGGGATGGAATTTTTGGGGCTCCCAGGGCCAGAATTTGGGGCTCACAGGGGGATATTTGGGGTGCACAGGGGATGGAATTTGGGGATCACAGGGGGTGGAATTTGGGGGGCTGTGGGGATTTGGGGGGCATGGGGGTGGAATTTTTGGGGCACAGGTGGAATTAAGGGACACAGGTGTGGAATTTGGGGTGCACAGGGGGTGGAATTTGGGGGGTACAGGTGGAATTTGGGGGGCACAGGGATGGAATTAAGGAACACAGTGGAGATTTGGGGGACACAGGATATTTGGGGCTCCCAGGGGGATATTTGGGGCTCCCAGGGGGATATTTGGGGCTCACAGGGCCGGAAATTGGGGTGCACAAGGAATATTTGGGGCTCCCAGGGGAATATTTGGGGATCACAGGGAATATTTGGGGCTCCCAGGGCCGGAATTTGGGGGCCACGGTTGATATTTGGGGTGCACAGGGGGTGGAATTTGGGGTGCACAGGGCTGGAATTTGGGGGGTACAGGGGGTGGAATTTGGGGGGCACAGGGGGTGGAATTTGGGGGGTACAGGGATGGAATTTGGGGCTCCCAGGGCCGGAATTTGGGGCTCCCCTGACCCCTCCCCACCCCGTTGCCCCCCAGGATTTTTCGGGGCGCTGCTGGCGCTGATCTGCCAGCACCTCTCCATGGTGGACGTGGTGCTGCTGCTGCACGGGCGCTGCCAGCCCCTGGCCCGGCTGCAGCCGCTGCTGCGCCGCTGCTTCCGCCAGCGCTACCTGGGCGGCCGCGAGCCCACCGAGGCCAACGTCAGGGTGAGGGACCCCCCCGAACCCCCAAAAAACACCCCCAAAATCTTCGCACAAAGCCTTGATTCAACCCCAAAAAAATCCCCAAAAAAATCCCCCCAAAAAATCCCCCCGAACCCCAAAAAAACAGGCCCAAACAACGAAAAAAACACACCCAAAATCTGAAAAAACCAGCCCCAAACCCCGAAAAAAACCAGCCACGAACCCCAAAAATACAGCCTCGAACCCCAAAAAACACACGCCCAAAATCTCCACACAAATCCCTGACCCAGCCCCAAAAATCCCAAAAAAAACACCCCGAAAATCTCCACACAAAGCCCTGATTCAGCCCCGAAAAAACAGCCATGAACCCCAAGAAAAAACAGCCCAAAAATCTTCACACAAAGCCCTGATTCAACCCCAAAAATCCCAAAAAACACCCCGAAAATCTTCACACAAAGCCCTGATTCAACCCCAAAAAAAAACCCAAAAAAAATCCCCCAAAAAAATCCCCTCGAACCCCGAAAAAACAGGCCCGAACAACGAAAAAAACACACCCAAAATCTGAAAAAACAGCCCCAAACCCTGAAAAAAACCAGCCACGAACCCCGAAAAAACAGCCTCGAACCCCAAAAAACACACGCCCAAAATCTCCACACAAATCCCTGACCCAGCCCCAAAAATCCCAAAAAAACATCCCAAAAATCTTCACACAAAGCCCTGATTCAGCCCCGAAAAAACAGCCATGAACCCCAAGAAAAAACAGCCCCGAACCACGAAAAAACAGCCCTGAACCCCAAAAAAAACCACCCACGAACCCCAAAGAAAACAGCCCCAAACCCCAAAAAAAAACCACCCACGAACCCCAAAGAAAACAGCCCCAAACCCCGAAAAAAAACCAGCCACGAACCCCGAAAAACAGCCCAAAAGTCTCCACACAAAGCCCTGGATCAACCCCAAAAAAGTCCCCCAAAAAAATCCCCCAAAAAATCCCCCAAAAAAATCCCCCAAAAAAATCCTCCAAAAAAATCCCCCAAAAAATCCCACCAAACCCCGAAAGAAACCAGACCCAAAAATCCCAAAAAAACGCACCCAAAAATCTCCCCACAAAGCCCCAAAAATCACCCCCAAAAATCTCCACACAGAGCCCTGATTCAACCCCGAAAAAAAACCAGCCACGAACCCCGAAAAACAGCCCAAAAATCTCCCCACAAAGCCCTGGTTCAACCCCGAAAAAACAGCCACGAACCCCAAAAAACCAGCCCTGAACTTCAAAAAAACACCCCAAAAATCTCCCCACAAAGCCCTGATTCAACCCCCAAAAAAATCCCCCAAAAAAATCCCCCAAAAAATCCCCCCGAACCCCGAAAAAACAGGCCCGAACAATGAAAAAAACACACCCAAAATCTGAAAAAACAGCCCCGAACCCCGAAAAAAACCAGCCACGAACCCCAAAAATACAGCCCCGAACCCCAAAAAACACACGCCCAAAATCTCCACACAAATCCCTGACCCAGCCCCAAAAATCCCAAAAAAACACCCCCAAAAATCAAAAAAAAAATACCCTAAAAATCTCCCCACAAAGCCCTGGTTCAACCCCGAAAAAACAGCCACAAACCCCAAAAAAACAGCCCCGAACCCCAAAAAAAACACACCCAAAATCCGAAAAAACCAGCCCCGAACCCCGAAAAAACAGCCCAAAAATCTCCACACAGAGCCCTGATTCAACCCCAAAAAAATCCCCCCAAAAAATCCCCCCCAAAAAATCCCCCAAAAAATCCCCCAAAAAATCCCCCAAAAGAATCCCCCAAAAAAATCCCCCAAAAAATCCCCCAAAAAATCCCCCAAAAAAATCCCCCCAAAAAAATCCCCCCAAAAGATCCCCCAAAAAAATCCCTCCGAACCCCGAAAAAACAGCCCCGAACCCCAAAAAAAACACACCCAAAATCTGAAAAAACAGCCCCAAACCCCCAAAAAACACACGGCCAAAATCTCCACACAAATCCCTGACCCAGCCCCAAAAATCCCAAAAAAACACCCCGAAAATCTTCACACAAAGCCCTGATTCAGCCCCCAAAAGAACACCCCCAAACCCCCAAAAAAACCCCAAAAATCTCCCCAAAAACCTGACTCAACCCCAAAAAAAAAACCCCAAAAATCTCCACACCAAGCCCTGACCCAGCCCCAAAAATCCCCCCAAAAAAAACCCCAAAAATCTCCCCACAAAGCCCTGATTCAACCCCCAAAAAAACCCCCAAAAATCTCCCCACAAACCTGCCCCAACCCTCCCAAACCCCAAAAAAAACCCCCCAAAAATCTTCCCAAAAACCTGACCCAGCCCCAAGAAAATCCCCCAAATTCTCCCCAAAAACCTGCCCCAGCCCCCCCAAACCCCCAAAAAACCCCAAAACCCCCCAAAATCTCCCCACAAACCTGCCCCAAACCCCCAAAAAACCCCAAAAACCCCAAAACCCCCCAAATTCTCCCCAAATCCTCAGGCGGCCACGCACAGCCTGATCACGGGGCTGGAGGGGTTCATCCGCGAGAGCTTCGTGAGTTTGGGGGTCCTGGGGGGTCTCTGGGGGTCCTGGGGGGTTTGGGGGGGCTTGGGGGGGTTTTAGGGGGGGCTTTAGGGGATTTGGGGGTCCTGGGGGGGTTTGGGGGTGCTGGGGGGTGGTTTGGGGGTCTCGGGGGGGTTCTGAGGGGGCTTGGGGGGGTCTTTTGGGGGGGCTTTGGGGGGGTTTGGGGGGTCCTGGGGGGGGTCTGAGGGGGATTGGGGGGGCTTTGGGGGGGGGGGGGTTTGGTGGCCTTGGGGGTCCTGGGGGGGTTTGGGGGGGGTCCTGGGGGCTTGGGGGGGGTTTTTGGGGGGGGTTTGAGGGGGTTTGGGGGGGTTTTGGGGGAGCTTGGGGGGGGTTTGGGGGGTCCTGGGGGGTTTTGGGGGTCTCTGGGGGGTTTTGGGGTGCTGGGGGAGGTTTTGGGGTCTCTGGGGGTCCTGGAGGGTTTTGGGGGTGCTGGAGGGGGAGTCCTGGGGGGGCTTGGGGGGTTTTTTTGGGGGGGGGTTTAGGGGGGATTGGGGGGTCTTGGGGGGGGTTTGGGGGGTTTTTTTGGGTGGGGTTTAATGGGTTTGGGGGGGTTGGGGGGGGTCTTGGGGGGGTTTGGGGGTTTTGGGGGGTCCTGGGGGGGTTTGGGGGGGCTGGGGGGGGGGGTTTTGGGGATCCTGAGGGGGGTCTGAGGAAGATTGGGGGGGTCTTTTGGGGGGGCTTAGGGCAGGTTTGAGGGGGGCTTGAGGGTCTCTGGGGGTCCTGGGGGGGTTTAGGGGTGCTGGGGGGGGGCGCTGGGGGGTTTGGGGGGGTTTAGGGGGTCCTGGGGGGGTTTGGGGGGTTTGTGGGGAGTCTGGGGGGGGGGCCTTTTGGGGGAGTTCTTGGGGTCCTGGAGGGTTTGGGGGTGCTGGGGGGAGTTTGGGGGGGTTTGGGGGGGGTTTGACGGGGTCCTGGGAGGGCTTGGGGGGGATTAGGGGGTCTCAGTGGGGGATTTTGGGGGTCTCAGGGGGTCTCTGGGGGTTTTTGGGGTGCTGTGGGGGGGGTTTGGGGGGTTTTGGGGGTCTCTGGGGGGGGTTTTGGGGGTCTCAGGGGGTCTCTGGGGGATTTTGGGGTCTCAGTGGGGGAGGTTTTGGGGGTCTCTTGGGGTCTCAGTGGGGGATTTTGGGGGTCTCTGGGGGTCTTGGGGGGTTTTTGGGGTCTCAGTGGGGGAGGTTTTGGGGGTCTCAGGGGGTCTCTGTGGGATTTTGGGGTCTCAGAGGGGGATTTTGGGGGTCTCAGGGGGTCTCAGGGGTTTTTGGGGTGCTGTGGGGGGGGTTTGGGGGTCTCGGGGGGTTTTTGGGGTGCCGTGGGGGGGTCGGGGCCGCTCCGTGACCCCCCCCGACCCCCCAAATTGCCCCTCCCCCCCCAGGCCGGGGTCCGCGTGGCCGACGGCGTCGACATCACCCGAACCAACGTGGAGTTCCTGCGGGAGCAGTTCAACCGCATCGCGCTGCACGTGCTGCGCTGCACCGGTGCTGCTGCAATGGGGCTGCAGTGGGGCTGCAATGGGGGTGGAGTGGGGCTGCAATGGGGATGCAATGGGGCTGCAATGGGGCTGCAATGGGGCTGCAATGGGGGATGCAATGGGGCTGCAATGGGGATGCAATGGGGCTGCAACGGGGCTGGGGGGGCATGGGGGGTTACTGGGGGTCACTGGGAGGTTACTGGGGGGCTACTGGGATCACTGGGAGGTCACTGTGGGGTTACTGGGGGTCACTGGGATCACTGGGAGGTTACTGGGGGTCACTGGGATCACTGGGGGGTCACTGGGGTGGTTATTGGGGGTCACTGGAGGTTACTGGGAGTTACTGGGGGGCTACTGGGAGTTACTGGGGGGCTACTGGGGGTTACTGGGGGTTACTGGGAGGTTACTGGGGGTCACTGGGGGTTACTGGGGTCACTGGGGTCAGCAGGAATTACGGGGATCACCCAAGGGGTCCCTGGGGTCCCTGGGGGGGGTCCCCGTGGGGGTCCCTGGGGGTGTCACTGGTGGGGGGGTCACTGGGGGTCACTGGGAGGTTACTGGGGGGACTGGGGGGCTCACAGGGGGTCCCTGGGGGGGGTCCCCGTGGGGGTCCCCGGGGGTGTCACTGGTGGGGGGGTCCCTGGGGTCCCCGTGGGGGTGCCCAGGGGGGTCCCGGGGGTGTCACTGGTGGGGGGGTCCCTGGGGTCCCCGTGGGGGTGCCCAGGGGGGTCCCGGGGGTGTCACTGGTGGGGGGGTCCCTGGGGTCCCCGTGGGGGTGCCCAGGGGGGTCCCCAGGGGTGTCACTGGTGGGGGGGTCCCTGGGGTCCCCGTGGGGGTGCCCAGGGGGGTCCCCGGGGGTGACCACGACCCCCCACCCCCCCCCAGACGGGTCCTTCGGGCCGCGGCTGCTGGAGCTCTGCAACCGGGGCCTGTTCGAGTGCCTGGCCCTGAACCTGCACTGCCTGCGGGGCGAGCGCGGCGCCCTGGGGGCGCTCATCAGCGACCGCATCGTGAGTGGGGGGCTGGCCGGGGGGCTGGGGAGGGGGCTGGGACCCCTCCAGAGTCATGAGGAGGGGGTTGGGACCCCCCCATGGGTGACTGGGACCCCCCTTGAGGCCACCCTGAGTCATGGGGAGGGGGCTGGGACCCTCCCCCGGGGGCTGGGAGACCCCCCCTTAGTCATGGGGAGGGGGCTGGGGGCGCTCATCAGTGACCCCATTGTGAGTGGGGGGCTGGCCGGGGGGCTGGGACCCCCCCCAAGTCGTGGGGAGGGGGCTGGGACCCCCCCAAGTCATGGGGAGGGGGCTGGGACCCCCCCATGGGTGACTGGGACCCCCCCTGAGACCCCCTATGAGTCATGGGGAGGGGGCTGGGATCCCGCCATGGGGGGCTGGGGGCGCTCATCAGCGACCGCATCGTGGGTGGGGGGCTGGGACCCCCACATGGGGGGCTGGGATCCCCCCTGAGACCCCCCCTGAGTCACTGCGAGGAGCTGGGACCCCCCCTGGGGTCTGGGACCCCCCCTGAGACCCCCCCGAGTCATGGGGAGGGGGCTGGGGGCGATCATCACTGACCGCATCGTGAGTGAGGGGCTGGGACCCCCACCCGGGGGGCTGGGACCCCCCCCGAGACCACCCTGAGTCATGGGGAGGGGGCTGGGATCCCGCCATGGGGGGCTGGGGGCGCTCATCAGCGACCACATCGTGAGTGGGGGGCTGGCCGGGGGGCTGGGACCCCCCCCCCGAGTCGTGGGGAGGGGGCTGGGACCCCCTGAGACCCCCCCTGAGTCACTGCGAGGAGCTGGGACCCCCCCTGGGGTCTGGGACCCCCCCTGAGACCCCCCCAGAGTTGTGGGGAGGGGGCTGGGGGCGCTCATCAGTGACCCCATCGTGAGGGGGGGGCTGGGCGGGGGCCTGGGACCCCCTGAGACCCCCCCGAGTCACTGTGGGAAGCCAGGGAAGGGCTGGGACCCCCCCATGGGGGGCTGGGACCCCCCCCGAGACCACCCTGAGTCATGGGGAGGGGGCTGGGATCCCGCCATGGGGGGCTGGGGGCGCTCATCAGCGACCACATCGTGAGTGGGGGGCTGGGACCCCCACCCGGGGGGCTGGGACCCCCCCTGAGGCCCCTCTGAGTCATGGGGAGGGGGCTGGGACCCCCCCAGAGTCGTGGGGAGGGGGCTGGGGGCGCTCATCAGCGACCGCATCGTGAGTGGGGGGCTGGGACCCCCACCCAGGGGGCTGGGACCCCCTGAGACCACCCTGAGTCATGGGGAGGGGGCTGGGGGCACTCATCAGCAACCGCATCGTGAGTGGGGGGCTGGCCGGGGGGCTGGGACCCCCTGAGACCCCCCATGAATCATGGGGAGGGGGCTGGGATCCCGCCATGGGGGGCTGGGGGCGCTTATCAGCGACCGCATCGTGAGTGGGGGGCTGGGGGTCTGGGGGGCTGGGCGGGGGGCTGGGACCCCCCCCGGGGGGCTGGGACCCCCCCTGAGACCACCCAGAGTCATGGGGAGGGGGCTGGGGGCGCTCATCAGTGACCCCATCGAGAGTGGGGGGCTGGCCGGGGGGCTGGGACCCCCCCGAGACCACCCTGAGTCATGAGGAGGGGGCTGGGACCCCCCCATGGGTGACTGGGACCCCCCCCAAGACCACCCTGAGTCATGGGGAGGGGGCTGGGACCCCCCCAGAGTCGTGGGGAGCGCCCTGGGGGCGCTCACCAGTGACCCCATTGTGAGTGGGGGGCTGGGACCCCCACCCGGGGGGCTGGGACCCTCCCTGAGACCCCCCTGAGTCATGGGGAGGGGGCTGGGGGCGCTCATCAGCGACCGCATCGTGAGTGGGGGGCTGGCCGGGGGGCTGGGACCCTCCCCCGGGGGGCTGGGGGTGCACATCAGCGACCGCATCGTGAGTGGGGGGCTGGGGGGCTGGCCGGGGGGCTGGGACCCCCCCCGAGACCACCCTGAGTCATGGGGAGGGGGCTGGGACCCTCCCCCGGGGGGCTGGGACCCCCCCCAAGTCATGAGGAGGGGGCTGGGACCCCCCCCCGAGTTATGGGGAGGGGGCTGGGGGCGCTCATCAGCGACCGCATCGTGAGTGGGGGGCTGGGGGGCTGGCCGGGGGGCTGGGACCCCCACCTGGGGGGCTGGGACCCCCCCTGAGGTCCCTCTGAGTCATGGGGAGGGGGCTGGGATCCCGCCATGGGGGGCTGGGGGCACTCATCAGCGACCGCATTGTGAGTGGGGGGCTGGGACCCCCACCCGGGGGGCTGGGCTGGGACCCCCCCCCCCGAGACCACCCTGAGTCATGGGGAGGGGGCTGGGACCCCCCCATGGGGGACTGGGACCCCCCCCGAGTTATGGGGAGGGGGCTGGGACCCCCCATGGATGACTGGGACCCCCCCAAGTCATGGGGAGGGGGCTGGGACCCCCCCATTGGGGACTGGGACCCCCCCCGAGTTATGGGGAGGGGGCTGGGACCCCCCCATGGGGGACTGGGGGCGCTCACCAGTGACCCCATTGTGAGTGGGGGGCTGGGCGGGGGGCTGGGACCAATGTGGGGGTGCCCCGGGGGTCCCCGTACCTGATGTGGGGGTGTCTGGGGGTCCCCGTGACCCACAAAGGGTGCCCTGGGGGTCCCTGCACCCAATGTGGGGGTCCCAGGGGTGCCCGCTGACTGTGTGGCGCCCAACGTAGGGATCCCGGGGGTGCCCAGTGCCCAATGTTAGGGGGTGCCCCAGGGGTCCTGGGGGTGCCCAATGTTAAGGGGTGCCCCGGAGGTCCCAAGGGTGCCCTCTGACCCTGCTGTGCCCGATGCGGGGGTCCCAAGGGTGCCCGCTGCCCACGTGGCGCCCAACGTGGGGATCCCGGGGGTCCTGGTACCCAATGTGGGGGGTGCCCCAGGGGTCCCAAGGGTGCCCAATGTGGGGGTCCTGGGGGTGCCCAGTGCCCAATGTGGGGGTCCCAGGGGTGCCCGCTGACCGTGTGGCGCCCAACGTGGGGATCCCGGGGGTCCCGGTGCTCAATGTGGGGGTCCCAGGGGTGCCCAGTGCCCAATGTGGGGGTGACCCGGGGGTCCCGGTGCCCAATGTTAGGGGGTGCCCGGGGGTCCCAAGGGTGTCCAACCCGGGGGTCCCAGGGGTGCCTGCTGACTGTGTGGCGCCCAATGTGGGGATCCTGGGGGTCCAGGTGCTCGATGTGGGGGTCCCAGGGGTGCCCAGTGCCCAATGTGGGGGGTGACCCGGGGGTCCCCGTACCCGATGCTGGGGGGTGCCCCGGGGGTCCCTGCACCCGACACGGGGGTCCCAAGGGTGCCTGCTGACTGTGTGGCGCCCAATGTTGGGATCCCGGGGGTGCCCAGTGCCCAAAGTTGGGGGTGACCTGGAGGTCCCCGTACCTGATGTTGGGGGGTGCCCTGGGGGTCCCTGCACCCGATGTGGGGGTCCCAGGGGTGCCCGCTGACCGTGTGGCGCCCAACGTGGGGGTCCCGGGGGTCCTGGTGCCCAATGTTGGGGGGTGCCCCAGGGGTGCCCAACCCGGGGGTCCCAAGGGTGCCCTCTGACCCCGCCGTGCCCGATGTTGGGGTGACCTGGGGGTCCTTGCACCCAACATGGGGCTCCCAAGGGTGCCCGCTGACCGTGTGGCGCCCAACGTGGGGATCCCGGGGGTCCCGATACCCAATGTGGCGGTCGCGGGGTGCCCTATGCCCAATGTCAGGGGGTGCCCAATGTTGGGGGTGCCCAACCCGGGGTCCCAAGGGTGCCCTCTGACCCCGCCGTGCCCGCAGCGGCGGCTGTCGGCGGACGTGCCGCCCTCGCTGGTGGGTTGGCTGACGGCCGTGGTGGGGCTGCGGCTGCAGGCGGTGCTGGAGCAGATGCCCGTCAGCCCCGAGCAGGTGCTGCCCTACGTGCGGCACCTGGGCGAGCCCCCCGAGGCCCCGCCCCGACAGGTGAGCCTGGCCACGCCCCCCAAAGGCCACGCCCTGGGGAGATCAGCCCCGCCCCTGCCTGCCCCGGCCACGCCCTGGGGAGATCAGCCCCGCCCCCAGAGCTTTAGCCCCACCCCCAGAGCCACACCCAGGTGAGCTCAGCCCTGCCCCCAAAGCCACACCCAGGTGAGCTCAGCCCCGCCCCTAAAGCCACACCCAGGTGAGCTCAGCCCCGCCCCTAAAGCCACACCCAGGTGAGCTCAGCCCCGCCCCTAAAGCCACACCCAGGTGAGCTCAGCCCCGCCCCCAAAGCCACACCCAGGTGAGCTCAGCCCCGCCCCCAAAGCCACACCCAGGTGAGCTCAGCCCCGCCCCCAAAGCCACACCCAGGTGAGCTCAGCCCCACCCCCAAAGCCACACCCAGGTGAGCTCAGCCCTGCCCCCAAAGCCACACCCAGGTGAGCTCAGCCCCGCCCCTAAAGCCACACCCAGGTGAGCTCAGCCCCGCCCCTAAAACCACACCCAGGTGGGCCCGGCCACACCCATGTGACCTTAGCCCCGCCCCCAGAGCCTCAGCCCCGCCCCCAAAGCCACACCCAGGTGAACTCAGCCCCGCCTCCCTGGCCCCGCCCACATAGGAACCACACCCCCAGTTTGACTCCACCCACTTCTCCCAAACCACGCCCCTGCTCCAAGCTCCGCCCCCGCTGCCACACCCTGTTAAGCCCCGCCCCCTCTAAGCCCCACCCTTTGGCCCCGCCCACAGCCGCTGCCCGAGGAGCCAATGGAGGTGCAGGAGGCGGAGCCACCCCCGGACGACGCCCAGGTAAGGAGGGGGCGGGGCTTCCTCTGGAGGGGGCGGGGCCTCCCCAGCGATGGCCCCGCCCCTCACTGCCCCTCCCCCCAGCGGGACGGCGCGGGGTCTCCCGCCCCCGCCACCACGGCCGAGGAGGCCCTGCCCCCCCCCGGCAGCGACAGCGAGGCCTGGGCGGCCGCCGTGCCCCCGGTGAGTGACCCCCGGTGACCTCTGACCTCTCTGGGACCCCTGTGCTGTGACCCCGCTGTGCCCTCTGACCTCTGCGGGACCCCCAAGTGATTTTTAGTGTGACCCCTGTAATGACCCTGTGACCCCTTACCCCATTGTGACCCCTATGTGACCTCTGTGCTCTGACCTGTGTGACCCTAATGTGACCCTGTGTGACCCCGTGACCCCTTTGTGACCTCTGTGCTCTGACCCATGTGATTTGTCCTCTGACCCCTGTGTGACCCCTATGTGATCCCATGTGACCCCTGTGTGACCCCATGACCTCTGTGTGACCCCTGTATGACCCTGTGACCCCTGTGTGACACATGTATGACCCCGTATGATCCTGTGACCCTGTGTGACCCCTGTATGACCCCATGACCCTGTATGACCCCGTGACCCCCGTGTGACCCTGTGACCCCGCTGTGACCCCGCTGTGACCCCAGGAGTGGGTGCCGATCATCCGCGAGGACGCGCAGCGGCAGCGGAAGGCGAAGCCGCAGCCGCCCCTGAGCGACGCCTACCTGAGCGGCATGCCGGCCAAGCGCCGCAAGGTCAGCGACCCCTGACCCCGGAGTGACCCCTGACCCCTGAGTGACCCCCGAGTGACCCCTGACCCCTGAGCGGCATGCCGGCCAAGCGCCGCAAGGTCAGCGACCCCTGACCCCTGAGTGACCCCTGACCCCTGAGTGACCCCTGACCCCTGAGCGGCATGCCGGCCAAGTGCCGCAAGGTCAGCGACCCCTGACCCCTGAGTGACCCCTGACCCCTGAGTGACCCCTGACCCCTGAGCGGCATGCCGGCCAAGCGCCGCAAGGTCAGCGACCCCTGACCCCTGAGTGACCCCCGAGTGACCCCTGAGTGACCCTGAGTGACCATTGACTCCTGAGGGACCACTGACCCCTCAGTGACCCCTCCCTGACCCCTCTCTGACCCCACACTGACCCCTGTGCCCCCTTGCTGACCCCTGTGACCCCTCCCTGACCACACTGACCCCACACTGACCCCACTGACCCCTCACTGATCCCTCTGCCCCCCCACTGACCCCTCCCTGACCCCTCTGCCCCCTCACTGACCCCTCACTGACCCCTCTGACCCCTCTGCCCCCTCCGTGACCCCTGTGGCCCCTCCCTGACCACACTGACCCCTCCCTGACCACAATGACCCCACACTGACCCCTCCCTGACCTCTCTGCCCCTTCTGTGACCCCTCTGACCCCTCACTGACCACACTGACCTCTCACTGACCCCTCGCTGTTCACACTGACCCTACACTGACCCCTCGCTGACCCCTGTGCCCCCTCGCTGACCTCTGACCCCCCGCTGACCCCCCGCTGACCCCCCAGACGATGCAGGCAGAGCCGCCCCCGCTGCTCCTGGCCGAGGCCGTGGCTCGCGCCGCTCGCGCCGCCGGAGCGCCGAGCCCGACCAGCGCCGAGAGCCTCAGCCGGGAGCTGAGCCAGGCCGGGCTGCAGGAGGGGTACCAGCAGCAGGTACCGGGGAATTGGGGCTGGGGGCTTTGAAATGGGGCTGGGGGCTTCAAATGGGGCTGGGGGCTTGGGGGAATGGAAATGGGAAATGGGGCTGGGGGCTGAGCCAGGCCGGGCTGCAGGAGGGGTACCAGCAGCAGGTACAAAATGGGGCTGGGGGCTTCAGATGGGGCTGGGGGCTTTGAAATGGGGCTGGGGGAGCTGAGCCAGGCTGGGCTGCAGGAGGGGTACCAGCAGCAGGTACCGGGAATTGGGGCTGGGGGCTTCAAATGGGGCTGGGGGCTTCAGAATGGAAATGGGAAATGGGGCTGGGGGAGCTGAGCCAGGCCGGGCTGCAGGAGGGGTACCAGCAGCAGGTAGGAAATGGGGCTGGGGGCTTCACATGGGGCTGGGGGCTTCACATGGGGCTGGGGGCTTCCAATGGGGCTGGGGGCTTTGAAATGGGGCTGGGGGCTGAGCCAGGCCGGGCTGCAGGAGGGGTACCAGCAGCAGGTAGGAAATGGGGCTGGGGGCTTCCAATGGGGCTGGGGGCTTCAGATGGGGCTGGGGAATTGGGGAAATGGGGCTGGGGGCTGAGCCAGGCCGGGCTGCAGGAGGGGTACCAGCAGCAGGTACCGGGGAAATGGGGCTGGGGGCTTTGAAATGGGGCTGGGGGCTTTGAAATGGGGCTGGGGGCTGAGCCAGGCCGGGCTGCAGGAGGGGTACCAGCAGCAGGTAGGAAATGGGGCTGGGGGCTTTGAAATGGGGCTGGGGGCTTCCAATGGGGCTGGGGGCTTCAAATGGGGCTGGGGGCTTCACATGGGGCTGGGGGTTTAAATGGGGCTGGGGGCTGAGCCAGGCCGGGCTGCAGGAGGGGTACCAGCAGCAGGTACCGGGGAAATGGGGCTGGGGGCTTCACATGGGGCTGGGGGCTTCAAATGGGGCTGGGGGCTTCATAATGGGGCTGGGGGCTTGGGGGAATGGAAATGGGAAATGGGGCTGGGGGAGCTGAGCCAGGCCAGGCTGCAGGAGGGGTACCAGCAGCAGGTACTGGGGAATTGGGGCTGGGGGCTTCACATGGGGCTGGGGGCTTTGAAATAGGGCTGGGGAATTGGGGAAGTGGGGCTGGGGGCTTCAAATAGGGCTGGGGGCTGAGCCAGGCCGGGCTGCAGGAGGGGTACCAGCAGCAGGTACCGGGGAATTGGGGCTGGGGGCTTCGAATGGGGCTGGGGGCTTCAAATGGGGCTGGGGGCTTCAGAATGTAAATGGGAAATGGGGCTGGGGGAGCTGAGCCAGGCCGGGCTGCAGGAGGGGTACCAGCAGCAGGTACCGGGGAATTGGGGCTGGGGGCTTCAGATGGGGCTGGGGGCTTCCAATGGGGCTGGGGGCTTCAGATGGGGCTGGGGGCTTCCAATGGGGCTGGGGGCTTCAGATGGGGCTGGGGGCTTCCAATGGGGCTGGGGAATTGGGGAATCGGGGCAGGGGGCTTCAAATGGGGCTGGGGGCTTCAAATGGGGCTGGGGGCTTCAGGGGTAATTTGGGGAGGGGGTTTCAGGGGTAGTTTGAAGAGGGGCTGTAATTTGGGGAGGGGGTTTCAGGGGTAATTTGGAGAGGGGGTTTAATTTGGGGAGGGGGTCTCGGTGCAATTTGGGGAGGGGGTTTCAGGGGTAATTTGGGGAGGGGGTTTTGGGGATAATTTGAGGAGGGGGTTTTGGGGTAACTCGGGGAGGGGGTTTAATTCGGGGAGGGGCTGTAATTTGGGGAGGGGGTCTCAGTGCAATTAGGGGAGGGGGTTTCGGGGGTAACTCGGGGAAGGGGGTTTAATTCGGGGAGGGGTCTCCCAGCTGCAGGCCGACCTGCGCCGCCGCCTGCGCCAGGACCCCGATTTCAGCCCCCGCCGCTTCCCCAGCGCCCACCGCGCCTTCGGGGAGCCCCTCCCCCACCGCCCGCCGACCCCTCCCCCAAAATAAACCCCGCCCCTCCCCCACCCTTTAATTTCCTCCATTTTGGGGCTTTTCCGAACTCAGTTTTGATCGTTTTTATCGATTTTTTTTCTTTATCAAAGGTGGGGGAGGGGAAATAAGCCACGCCCCCCCCGCGAAGGGGGCGGGGCCACGCGGGAGGGGGAGGGGTTTAACGCGCGGCCCCTCCCCCACCCGCATAAATATTTGGGGGGGGGGGGGGGGGGTCACTGTGGGGGGCGGCGGGACCCCCCCGGTGGGGGTGGGGGAGGGGCGGGAGCCCCCGGTGGGGGAGGGGGCTCAGGGCGGGGCCCGCGCGGGGGAGGGGGAGGGGCGAAGGGGCGGGGGGGAGGGGCGAGGAGGCGGCCGAGGGGCAGGAGGGGGAGGGGCGGCGCGGGGGGGGTCCCGAAGTTGAGGACGGGGGCGGGGGGAGGGCCCGGGGGGGGCTCCAGCAGCGGCAGCAGCACCTGAGGGGGGGGGGGGGAGGGGAGGGTGGGGGAGGGGCTCGGAGCAGGTGAGCCCCTCCCCCCATCAGCCCCTCCCCCACCCCCATCTGCCCCTCCTCCCCATCCCAGTTGTGCCCCTCCCCCCCATAGGTGTGTGTGCCCCTCCCCCACCCCCCATCTGCCCCTCCCCCACCCCATAGGTGTGTGTGCCCCTCCCCCACCATAGGTGTGTGTGCCCCTCCCCCCATCCCATCTGCCCCTCCCCCACCTCCATAGGTGTGAGTGCCCCTCCCCCACCCCCCCATAGGTGTGTGTGCCCCTCCCCCCCAATCCCATCTGCCCCTCCCCCACCCCATAGGTGTGTGTGCCCCTCCCCCACCCCCCACCTGCCCCTCCCCCACCCCCATAGGTGTGTGCGCCCCTCCCCCCCAATCCCATCTGCCCTTCCCCCACCCCCATAGGTGTGCCCCTCCCCCACCCCCATAGGTGTGTGTGCCCCTCCCCCACCCCCCAGGCGTGTGTGCCCCTCCCCCCCAATCCCATCTGCCCCTCCCCCACCCCCCAGGCGTGTGTGCCCCTCCCCCACCCCCCACCTGCCCCTCCCCCACCCCCATAGGTGTGTGCGCCCCTCCCCCACCCCCATAGGTGTGTGCGCCCCTCCCCCACCCCCATAGGTGTGTGTGCGCCCCTCCCCCACCCCCATAGGTGTGTGTGCCCCTCCCCCACCCCCACCCGCCCCTCCCCCCCTCACCTGGGGGAAGCCGCCCTGGCCCTGCCCGTAGAACTCCGAGGGGGGAGGGGGCAGCTCCTGCCTCACCTGTCCGGGTGGGGGAGGGGGAGGTGGGGGAGGGGAGGGGCGTGGCCGCGTCAGCCCCGCCCCTCCCCCCGCCCGGGGGGCCCCCGCCCCTCCCCCACTCACCTGCAGCACGGGGGGGGGGTCGGGGCCGAAGGGGCCGTAGAGGAAGGGGGGGAGGGGCGGGTACAGGACCCCCCCCCCCGCCCCCCCAGCTTGGCCAGCTCGGCCCCTCCCCCCAGGCCCGGCAGCTCCAGGAAGGGGCTCTTCAGGGGGGGGAGGGGCAGCCCCGCCCCCGCCACCAGCACCGGCCTGGGGGGAGGGGCAGGGGGGGAGGGGTCAGGCGTGGGGACCCCTCCCCCACCACATACAGAGACATCAGGTGGGACCCTCCCCCCCAAATGTGCCCCTCCCCCAATCCCAGGTGTACCCCTCCCCCACCCCCCAGATGTGCCCCTCCCCCCCCAAAATGTGGCCCTCCCCCCACCCCGTGTTCCCCCTCCCCCCCAAATGTGCCCCTCTCCCCAATTCCAGCTGTGCCCCTCCCCCAATCCCAGCTCTGCCCTTCCCCCCAAAAATGTGCCCCTCCCCCCCTGGAGTGCCCCTCCCCCCACCCCATGTGTTCCCCCTCCCCCCACAAAATGTGCCCCTCCCCCCAATTCCAGCTGTGCCCCTCCCCCCCCCACCCTGCCCCTCCTCCACCTGTAGGGCGGCACCGTGGGGGTCTCGGGCCGGAAGCCGCCGCTGCCCTGGGGGGGCTCCATGGCGGGGGGGGGCACCTGTGGGGGTGGGGGAGGGGTCAGGTCTGGCCCATGGGACCCCCCAGACCCCCCAAACCCCCCCCAGACCCCCCAAATCCCTCCAAAGCCCCCCAGACCCCCTCAAAGCCCCCCCAAACATCCCCCAGACCCCCCTAAACCCCTCCCTGACCCCCCCAAACCCCCAGACCCCCCCAAAATTCCCCCAGACCCCCCCAGACCTCCCCAAAAACCCCTCGGACCCCCTGCACCCCCCCAAACAGCCCCAAATGCCCCCAAAACACCCCCAGACCCCCCAAATCCCCCCCCAACCCCCTGAACCCACCCAAAAACCCCCAAACCCACCCAAAATTCCCCCAGACCCCCAAACACCCCCAGACCCCCCCAAATACCCCCAAACACCCCCAAACCCCCCCAGACCCCCCAAAACCCCCCCAGCCCCCCCGGACCTGCCCGGCGGCTCCGCCCCCCCCCCCGGCCGCTCTCGGGGGGGTCCCGGGGGGGCCCTTTGGGCTCCGGGGGTCGATTTTGGGGGGGGGGCTCGGGACCCCCCCCCGGCAGCAGCTCCCAGGGCCGGGGGGCTCCGAGCTGGGGGGGAGGGGAGGGAAACGGGGTGAGACCCCCCAAAAACCCACCCCCACCCCGGCGGTGACCCCAAAATCCTCATTTCTCACCCCAAAATCCCCATTTCTGACCCCAAAATTCTCATTTCTGACCCCAAAATTCTCATTTCTGACCCCAAATCCCCATTTCTCACCCCAAAATCCCCATTTCTCACCCCAAATCCCCATTTCTGACCCCAAATCCCCATTTCTGACCCCAAAATCCTCATCCCTGACCCCAAATCCCCATTTCTGACCCCAAAATCCTCATCCCTGACCCCAAATCCCCATTTCTGACCCCAAATCCCCATTTCTGACCCCAAAATCCTCATCCCTGACCCCAAATCCCCATTTCTCACCCCAAATCCCCATTTCTGACCCCAAAATTCTCATTTCTGATCCCAAAATCCCCATTTCTCACCCCAAATCCCCATTTCTGACCCCAAATCCCCATTTCTCACCCCAAAATCCCCATTCCTGACCCCAAAATCCCCATTTCTCACCCCAAAATCCCCGTTTATCACCCCAAATCCCCATTTCTGACCCCAAAATCCCCATTTCTCACCCAAAATCCCCATTTCTCACGCCAAATCCCATTCCTGACCCCAAAATCCCCATTTCTCACCCCAAATCCCCATTCCTGACCCCAAAATCCTCATCCCTGACCCCAAATCCCCATTTCTCACCCCAAATCCCCATTTCTGATCCCAAAATCCCCATTTCTCACCCCAAATCCCCATTTCTCACCCCAAACCCCCATTTCTGATCCCAAATCCCCATTTCTGACCCAAATCCCCATCCCTGACCCCAAATCCCCATTCCTGACCCCAAAATCCCCGTTTCTCACCCAAAATCCCCATTTCTCACCCCAAATCCCCATTTCTCACCCCAAATCCCGTTCCTGACCCCAAAATCCCCATTTCTCACCCCAAATCCCCATTTCTCACCCCAAACCCCCATTTCTGATCCCAAATCCCCATTTCTGACCCAAATCCCCATCCCTGACCCCAAATCCCCATTCCTGACCCCAAAATCCCCGTTTCTCACCCAAAATCCCCATTTCTCACCCCAAATCCCCATTTCTCACCCCAAATCCCGTTCCTGACCCCAAAATCCCCATTTCTCACCCCAAATCCCCGTTCCTGACCCCAAAATGCCCGTTTATCACCCCAAATCCCATCCCTGACCCCAAAATCCCCATTTCTCACCCAAAATCCCCATCCCTGACCCCAAATCCCCATTTCTGACCCCAAATCCCCATTTCTGACCCCAAATCCCCTTTTTTTTACCCCAAATCCCCATTTCTCACCCCAAACCCCCATTTCTCACCCCAAAATCCCCATTTCTCACCCCAAACCCCCATTTCTGACCCCAAATCCCCTTTTTTTTACCCCAAATCCCCATTTCTCACCCCAAACCCCCATTTCTCACCCCAAAATCCCCATTTCTGACCCCAACCCCCCCCGTTCCTGCCCCCAAATCCCTGTTTTTTACCCCAAACCCCCATTTCTGACCCCAAATCCCCATTTTTGACCCCAAATCCCCATTTCTCACCCCAAATCCCCATTTCTGACCCCAAATCCCCGTTTTTTACCCCAAATCCCCCCAGACCCCCCTCCTCACCCCCTCCCCGCTCTGGGGGTGCCGCTGCTCCTCCTCCTCCTCCTCCTCCTCTCGGGGGGTCCCCTCAGGTTTGGGGGGGCCCCCCCCAGGCCTCGGGGGGGTTCCGGCCCCGCTGGGAGCGCTCGGTGCCGATGGGGCCCGGGGGGGGCGCGGGGGGCGCCCCACAAACCTGGGGGGGGCAGGGAATTGGGGAGGGGGCTCAGGGCACCCCTGACCCCCCCAGGGTTGGATTTTTGGGGTGCCCGAATTTGGGGAGGGGTCTCAGGGCACACCTGACCCCCCCAGGGTTGGATTTTTGGGGTCCAATGTTGAATTTTTGGGGTGCCCAAATTTGAGGAGGGGGCTCAAGGCACACCTGACCCCCCCAGGGTTGGATTTTGGGGGTGCCCGAATTTGGGGAGGGGGCTCAGGGCACCCCTGACCCCCCCAGGGTTGGGATTTTGGGGTCCAATGTTGGATTTTTGGGGTCCAATGTTGAATTTTTGGGGTCCAATGTTCGGTTTTTGGGGCCCAATGTCAGATTTTGGGGTTCAATGTTGAATTTTTGGGGTGCCCGAATTTGGGGAGGGGGCTCAGGGCACGCCTGACCCCCCCCAGGGTTGGGGTTTTGGGGTCCAATGTTGGGTTTTTGGGGTTCAATGTTGGGTTTTTGGGGTCTAATGTTGGGTTTTTGGGGTCCAATGTTGGGTTTTTGGGGTGCCTGAATTTGGGGAGGGGGCTCAGGGTACCCCTGACCCCCCCAGGGTCGGGTTTTGGGGTGCCCGAATTTGGGGAGGGGGCTCAGGGCAGGCCTGACCCCCCCAGGGTCGGGGTTTTGGGGTCCAATGTTGAGTTTTTGGGGTACAATGTTGAATTTTTGGGGCCCAATGTCAGATTTTGGGGCCCAATGTCAGATTCTGGGGTCCAATGTTGGGTTTTTGGGGTGCCTAAATTTGGGGAGGGGGGCTCAGGGCACCCCTGACCCCCCAGGGTCGGGTTTTTGGGGTACAATGTTGGGTTTTGGGGTCCAATGTTGGGTTTTTGGGGTTCAATGTTGGATTTTTGGGGTGCCCGAATTTGGGGAGGGGGCTCAGGGCACCCCTGACCCCCCCAGGGTTGGGGTTTTTGGGGTCCAATGTTGGGTTTTTGGGGTACAATGTTGGGTTTTTGGGGTACAATGTCAGATTTTGGGGTCCAATGTTGGAGTTTTGGGGTCCAATGTTGAATTTTTGGGGCCCAATGTTGAATTTTTGGGGTTCCAACACCAGATTTTTGGGGTCAAATGTCAGATTTTGGGGTGCAATGCCAGATTTTGGGGCCCAATGTCAGATTTTGTGGTCCAATGTTGAAGTTTTGGGGTCCAAAGTTGAATTTTTGGGGTTCCAACGTCGGATTTTGAGGTTGCAATGCCGGGGTTTGGGTTCCAATATTGAATTTTTGGGGCCCAATGTTGAATTTTAGGGTCCAATGCCAGATTTTGGGGTGCAATGTTGAATTTTTGGGTTCCAACATCAGATTTTTGGGTTCCAACCCCGTATTTCCGGGGTCCCAACCCCCTTTTCGGGGCGCCCCGTACCTGGGGGTCCGGGCGGGGGTCCGGGCGGGGGTCCGGGCGGCGGCAGCGCGGTTGGGGGGTGTCCCGGGCGGTTTCGGGGGGCTGCGGGGGGGGCTGCAGACCCCCGTCGGGGGAGCTGCGCTGGCTGCAGACCCCCGAGTCCCCACTCAGCTCCACGCCGCTGTCGGGGGGGCTGGGCTGGGACGGGGGGGACACGGGGGGGACACCGGTGACCACCGGGGACCCCCCAATATGTACCGGGAACCCCCCAATATGTACCGGGGACCCCCCAGTATCCACCAGTATCCACCAGGGACCCCCCAATATATACAGGGGACCCCCCCCAGTATACACCAGTATCCACCGGTGACCACCGGGGACCCCCCAGTATCCACCAGTATCCACCAGGACCCCCCCAGTATACACCAGTATCCACCAGTATTCACCAGTGACCACTGGGACCCCCAATATACACTGGTGACCCCCCAATATATACCGGGGACCCCCCAAAGACCCCCCCCAATATCCACCAGGGACCCCCAATATCCACCGGGGACCCCCCCGTGACCCTCAGTATCCACCAGTGACCACCGGTGACCACTGGGACCCCCCCACTGACCCCCCAGTAACCCCCAGTATCCACCAGTGACCCCCCAGTGACCACCGGGACCCCCCAATATATACCGGGGACCCTCCAGTATCCACCAGTATCCACCAGGGACCCCCCAATATATACAGGGGACCCCCCCAGTATCCACCAGTACCCACCAGTATCCACCAGTATTCACCAGTGACCACCGGGACCCCCCCAGTATCCACCAGGGACCCCCCAGTGACCACCGGGACCCCCCAATATACACCGGGACCCCCCCAGTATACACCAGTATCCACTGGGGACCCCCCAGTATCCACCGGGACCCCCCAATATATACAGGGGACCCCCCCAGTATACACCAGTATCCACTGGGACCCCCCAATGACCCCCCAATATACATCGGGACCCCCAATATCCACCGGGGACCCCCCAGTATCCACCAGTATCCACCAGTGACCACTGGTGACCACCGGGGACCCCCCCAAAATATACCGGGGACCCCCCAGTATCCACCAGTATCCACTGGGGACCCCCCAGTATCCACCAGTATACACTGGGGACCTCCCCAGTGACCCCCCAGTATCCACCAGTGACCACCAGTATCCACCAGTGACCACCAGGGACCCCCCCAATATCCACTGGGGACCCCCAATATATACTGGGGACCCCCCAGTATCCACCAGTGACCCCCAGTGACCCCCCCCAGTATCCACCAGTATCCACCGGGACCCCCCAGTACCCACCAGTGCCCCCCCAACATCCCCCCAGTGCCCCCCAGTCCCTCCCAGTGCTCCCCAATTCCCTCCCAGTCCCTCCCAATCCCCCCCAGTCCCCCCCAGTCCCTCCCAGTGCTCCCAGTTACCTCGGGGCTGACGGGCTCCCCCAGTGGGGGGAGGGGCTCCATCCAGGGCTGCCCCGGGACCAGCGGCTTGGGGGGGGCACCTGGGGGGACCCCAGTAACTCCCAGTAACTCCCAGTAACCCCCAGTGCCCCCCAGTAACTCCCAGTAACCCCCAATAACCCCCAGTAAATACCAGTAACTCCCAGTAACCCCCAGTAAATACCAGTAACTCCCAGTAACCCCCAGTAAATACCAGTAACCCCCAGTAACCCCCCCCAGTAACCCCCAGTAAATACCAGTAACTCCCAGTAACCCCCCCAGTAACTCCCAGTAACACCCCCCAGTAACCCCCAGTAACCCCCCCAGTGTCCCCCAGTCCTGTCCCAGTAACCCCCCAGTAAACCCCAGTAACTCCCAGTAACTCCCAGTAACCCCCAGTAATTCCCAGTCCCTCCCAGTCTCCCCCAAATCCCCTCCCAGTCCCTCCCAATCCCCTCCCAGTCCCTCCCAGTCCCCTCCCAGTCCCTCCCAGTCCCTCCCAGTTCCCTCCCAGTCCCCCCCAGTCCCCTCCCAGTCCCTCCCAGTTCCCTCCCAGTTTGTCCCAGTCCCTCCCAGTCCCCCCAAATCCCCTCCCAGTCCCCCGCAGCCCCTCCCAGTCCCTCCCAGTGCCCCCAGTCCCCCCCAAATCCCCTCCCAATCCATCCCAGTATCCCCCAATCCCCTCCCAGTCCCTCCCAGTCCCCCCCAAATCCCCTCCCAGTTTGTCCCAGTCCCCCCCAAATCCCCTCCCAGTCCCCCCCAGTACCTCCCAGTCCCTCCCAGTGTCCCCAAATCCCCTCCCAGTCCCCCCAAATCCCCTCCCAGTCCCCCCCAGTACCTCCCAGTCCCTCCCAGTCCCCCCCAAATCCCCTCCCAGTCCCCCCCAAATCCCCTCCCAGTGCCCCCCAATCCCCTCCCAGTCCCCTCCCAGTCCCTCCCAGTTTGTCCCAGTCCCCCCCAAATCCCCTCCCAATCCCCTCCCAGTCCCTCCCAGTGCCCCCAAATCCCCTCCCAGTCCCTCCCAGTGCCCCCCAATCCCCTCCCAGTCCCTCCCAGTCCCCCCCAATCCCCTCCCAGTCCCTCCCAGTCCATCCCAGTTTGTCCCAGTCCCTCCCAGTTTGTTCCAGTCCCTCCCAGTTTGTTCCAGTCCCCCCTAAATCACCCCCCAGTCCCTCCCAGTTTGTTCCAGTCCCCCCCAAATCCCCTCCCAGTCCCTCCCAGTCCCTCCCAGTGCCCCCCAAATCCCCTCCCAGTCCCTCCCAGTCCATCCCAGTCCCCCCAAATCCCCTCCCAGTCCCTCCCAGTCCCCCCAAATCCCCTCCCAGTCCCCCCCAGTCCATCCCAATCCCCCCCCCAGTCCCTCCCAGTCCCTCCCAGTTTGTCCCAGTCCCTTACTGGTGCCCAGCTGGCTCCATACTGGGGGGCTCAGCCGCCCCTGCGCCTCCCCCGGCCCCTCCTGCCGGGGGTCCCCAAATCCCAGGGGGTCCTGGGGGGATGGGGGGGGGGTCAGAGGGGGGGTGGGGGTGGGGGGAGCCCCCCCGGACCCCTCCCCCACCGCTCCCACCCCTCCCCCTCACCTGGTTTTGGGGTCTCTGGCGCCGTTTGGCCAAAAACCCCCCCAGGCCCGGGCGGGGGGCGCCGGGGGGGCCCAGGGGGGGGCCCAGGGGGGGCTCCAGGGGGGCTGGGGGGAGAAAAGGTGAGAAAATTGGGGTGGGGGGCTCGGGGGAGGGAAATTGGGGGAGAAAAGGGGAGAAAATTGGGGTGGGGGGCTCTGGGGGGAGAGAAAATGGGGGGTGGGGGGCACGGGGTGGGAGGAAATTGGGGGATGGGGGGCACAGGGGGGGAAATTGAGGGGAGAAAAGGGGAGAAAATTGGGGTGGGGGGCTCTGGGGGGGGCAAAAATTTGGGGAGAAAATAGGGGGTTATTTATGGGGGTGGGGGGCTCGGGGGGGGAAATTGGGAGAGAAAAGGCGAGAAAATTGGGGTGGGGGGCACAGGGGGGGGGAAATTGGGGGAGAAAAGGGGGGAGTTATGGGGGTGGGGGGCACGAGGGGGGAGAAAATTGGGGTGGGGGGCTCGGGGGGGGGAATTGGGGGAGAAAAGGGGAGAAAATTGGGGTGGGGGGCTCTGGGGGGGGAATTGGGGGAGAAAAGGGGAGAAAATTGGGGTGGGGGGCTCTGGGGGGGGAAATTGGGGGTGGGGGCACAGGGGGGAGGGAAATTGGGGGTGGGGGGCACAGGGGGGTCTGTTCCTGTGGTGGGGGGGGGGGCAGTTTTGGGGGTGTATTTTGGGGAGGGGTCCGTACTGGGGGGGGGGGGGTCTGGGGTGTATTTAGGGGAGGGGTCCATACTGGGGGTTATTTAGGGGAGGGGTCCGTACTGGGGGGATTTGGGGTTATTTAGAGGAGGGGTCCGTAGCGGGGCTGTAATTTGGGGAGGGGTCCGTACCTGGGGGCGCCGGGGGCAGCCCCGGGGCGGGGGGGGCAGTTTAGGGGGGTTATTTAGGGGAGGGGTCCATACTGGGGGGGTTTGGGGTTATTTAGGGGAGGGGTCCGTACCGGGTGTGTAATTAGGGGAGGGGTCCGTACCTGGGGGCGCCGGGGGCAGCCCCGGGGCGGGGGGGGGGCAGTTTGGGGCTGTAATTTGGGGAGGGGTCCGTACTGGGCTGTAATTTGGGGAGGGGTCCATACCTGGCGGGGTCAGGGCTATAATTTGGGGAGGGGACCGTACTGGGGGTTATTTAGGGGAGGGGTCCGTACCAGGGCTGTAATTTGGGGAGGGGTCCGTACCGGGGGGGTTATTTAGGGGAGGGGTCCGTACCGGGGGGGTTTGGGGTTATTTAGGGGAGGGGTCTGTACCGGGGCTGTAATTTGGGGAGGGGTCCGTACTGGGGGGATTTGGGGTTATTTAGAGGAGGGATCCGCCCTGGGGCTGTAATTTGGGGAGGGGTCCGTACCTGGCGGGGTCAGGGCTATAATTTGGGGAGGGGTCCGTACTGGGGGTTATTTAGGGGAGGGGTCTGTAATTTGGGGAGGGGTCCGTACTGGGGGTTATTTAGGGGAGGGGTCTGTAATTTGGGGAGGGGTCCGTACTGGGCGGGGTCAGGGCTGTAATTTGGGGAGGGGTCCATACCGGGGGGATTTGGGGTTATTTAGGGGAGGGGGCTGTAATTTGGGGAGGGGTCCGTACCTGGGGGGGTCAGGGCTGTAATTTGGGGAGGGGTCCGTACCTGCCGGCGCCGGGGGCAGCCCCGGGGTGGGGGGGGCAGTTTGGGGGGGTTATTTAGGGGAGGGGTCCATACTGGGGGGGTTTGGGGTTATTTAGGGGAGGGGTCCGTACCGGGTGTGTAATTAGGGGAGGGGTCCGTACCTGGGGGCGCCGGGGGCAGCCCCGGGGCGGGGGGGGGGCAGTTTGGGGCTGTAATTTGGGGAGGGGTCCGTACTGGGCTGTAATTTGGGGAGGGGTCCATACCTGGCGGGGTCAGGGCTATAATTTGGGGAGGGGTCCGTACTGGGGGTTATTTAGGGGAGGGGTCCGTACCAGGGCTGTAATTTGGGGAGGGGTCCGTACTGGGGGTTATTTAGGGGAGGGGTCCGTACCGGGGGGGTTTGGGGTTATTTAGAGGAGGGGGCTGTAATTTGGGGAGGGGTCCGTACTGGGGGGATTTGGGGTTATTTAGAGGAGGGATCCGCCCTGGGGCTGTAATTTGGGGAGGGGTCCGTACCTGGCGGGGTCAGGGCTATAATTTGGGGAGGGGTCCGTACTGGGGGTTATTTAGGGGAGGGGTCTGTAATTTGGGGAGGGGTCCGTACTGGGGGTTATTTAGGGGAGGGGTCTGTAATTTGGGGAGGGGTCCGTACTGGGCGGGGTCAGGGCTGTAATTTGGGGAGGGGTCCATACCGGGGGGATTTGGGGTTATTTAGGGGAGGGGGCTGTAATTTGGGGAGGGGTCCGTACCTGGGGGGGTCAGGGCTGTAATTTGGGGAGGGGTCCGTACCTGCCGGCGCCGGGGGCAGCCCCGGGGTGGGGGGGGCAGTTTGGGGGGGTTATTTAGGGGAAGGGTCCATACTGGGGGGGTTTGGGGTTATTTAGGGGAGGGGGCTGTAATTTGGGGGGGGGTCCGTACCTGCCGGCGCCGGGGGCAGCCCCGGGGCGGGGGTCCCGGCCTTGGCCCCCAGCCCCGCCAGGGCCCTGCGGATCCCCCCGGGGTCGCTCGGGACCACCCGGTCCAGGCGGAACACGGCCGAGGGGGGAGGGGGCAGCGCCAGCCCCGGGGGGGGGGCTCCGGAATTGGGGGGGGGGGCCCGGGGGGTCCTCGCTGGTTCGGCTGGGGGGGGAAAAGGGGGGGAGGGTGAGAGACCCCCGAAATCAGCCCCAAATTCACACCAAGACCCCCAAAATCAGCCCCAAATTCACACTGAGACCCCCGAAATCAGCCCCAAATTTTCACCGAGACCCCCAAAATCGCCCCCAAAATCACCCCAAAATCCCTTTCAAATTAACTCTGAGACCCCCGAAATCAGCCCCAAATTCACACTGAGACCCCCGAAACCACCCCCAAATCCCATCTGAGACCCCAGAAATCACCCCCAAATCCTTCCCCAAAATCACCCCAAAATTCCTTTCAAATTAACTCTGAGACCCCCGAAATCACCCCCAAATCTGCTCTGAGACCCCCCCCAAAACCACCCCCAAATCTGCTCCGAGACCCCCAAAATCCTTCCCCAAAAAACCCCCCAAAATCCTTCCCCAAAAAACCCCCCAAAATCCCTTTCAAGTTAACTCTGAGACCCCCCCCGAAATCACCCCCAAATCTGCTCCGAGACCCCCAAAATCCCCTCTGAGAGCCCCCCAAATCCCCCCAGGACCCCAAAATTCCCATCAAAACTCCCCTAGGACACCCAAAATCCCCCCCCAGGACCCCAAAATCCCCCCCAAAATCCCCCCAACCCCATCCAGGACCCCCAAAATCCACCCCCAGGACCCCCAAAATCCCCCCAAAATCCCCCCAACCCCACCCAGGACCCCCAAACCCCCCCAAAAATCCCCCCAACCCCAAATAGGACCCCCAAAATCCACCCCCAGGACCCCCAAACCCCCCCAAAAATCCCCCCAACCCCAACCAGGACCCCCAAAACCCCACCCAGGACCCCCAAAATCCCCCCCAAAATCTCCCCAACCCCACCCAGAACCCCCAAAATCCCCCCAACCCCACCCAGGACCCCCAAAATCCCCCCAAAATCCCCCCAACCCCACCCAGGACACCAAAAATCCACCCCCAGGACCCCCAAACCCCCCCCAAAATCCCCCTAACCCCCTCCAGGACCCCCAAAACCCCCCCAAACTCTCCCCAACCCCACCCAGGACACCCAAACCCCCCCCAACCCCCCCCAGGACCCCAAAATCCACCCCCAGGACCCCCAAAACCCCCCCCAAAATCCCCCCAACCCCACCCAGAACGCCTAAAATCCCCCCCCAGGACCCCCAAAATCCCCCCCAAAATCCCCCCAACTCCACCCAGGACCCCCAAAACCCAACCAAAATCCCCCCAACCCCACCCAGGACACCCAAAATCCACCCCCAGGACCCCCAAAACCCCCCCGAAATCCCCCCAACCCCACCCAGGACACCCAAAACCCCACCCAGGACCCCCAAACCCCCACCAAAATCCCCCCAACTTCATCCAGAACCCCCAAAATCCCCCCAACCCCACCCAGGACCCCCAAACCCCCCCCAAAATCCCCCCAACCCCAACCAGGACCCCCAAAACCCCACCCAGGACCCCCAAAATCCCCCCCAAAACCCCCCCAACCCCACCCAGAACCCCCAAAACCCCCCAACACCAACCAGGACCCCCAAACCTCCCCCAAAATCCCCCCTAATCCCTCTCAGGACCCCCAAAAATCCCCGCAACCCCACCCAGGACCCCCAAAACCCCCCAAAATCCCCCCCAACCCCACCCAGGACCCCCAAAATCCCCCCCAAAATCCCCCCAACCCCACCCAGGACACCCAAAATCCACCCCAGGACCCCCAAACCCCCCCCCAAAATCCCCCCAACCCCAACCAGGACCCCCAAACCCCCCCAAAACGCCCCCATCCCCACCCAGGACCCCCAAAACCCCCCCAAACCCCCCCCAACCCCCTCCCAACCCACCCCGCATCCACCCAAGCCCCCCTCCCCAAATCCCCCAACCCACCCCCATCCCCCTCCTCACCTGCGATTTCGGGGCGAGGGCCACCCCCTCTTGTCGCCCCCCTTCCCGCCGCGCCCCCCGCCCGCCCCGCGGCCCCCCCCGGGCTGGGGGGAGCTTTGGGGGGGGGGTCCCCCCGAGCGCCGCTGGCTGGAGAAGCTCCGCTTGGCCAGGCGGGGGCTGGGGGGAGGGGCGCCGGCGGAATTATGGGGAGGGGGTCCTTGAGCCGGGGGCCCCCCGGGGGCGGGGGGGTCGCGGTCGGGGGGTCCCCCCCGCCGCCCCCCCAGGTCGGAGCTCTCCGAGGCCGTTTCCCACTGGTCCGAGTTGTGCTCGGGGGAGCGGGGGGGGCGCCGGGGGGCGGCATTTTGGGGAGGGGGCGGCGAGGAGGAGGAGGAGGAAGGCTGTGGGGGAGGGGCTGCCCGGGGGGGAGGGGCGGCGGGGGGCTCTTGGCGCAAGCGGCGGAACCGGGGGGGTTTATCCTGCTGCTGCTGCCCCCTCCCGTGCCGCCGCCGCCGGGGGGGTCGCTCCGAGCCCCCTCCCCCACGAGAAACGGGGGGGGGCGGCTGGGAGGAAATTGTGGGTGGGGGGCTCCAGTTGGAAGTGGCGGTGACCCCCCCGGCACCCCCACGACCGCGGCGGGACGGGACCCCCCGAGGGGTGAAAACGCGGCCGCGGGGGGCGCGGGGGGGCAGCCCCGGGGCGGGCGGGGGTCCCGGGGCGGGCGGGGGTCCCGGGGGTCCCGGAATTGGGGGGGGGTCTCCGCTGTCGGAGCTGTCGGAGCCGCGGAGCCGCCGCCGGGGGGGCTCCTCCTCGTACTCGGAGCCTTCGCTCCGCGCCTCCGCCGCGCCGGGGGGGGGGTCCCCGGAATTGGGGAGGGGTCCCCGGAACCCGCGGAACTCCCGCTGGGCGTGGTGGGGGTGGGGGCGGCCGCGGGTGGAGCCCCCAGACCCACCGGACCCCCCCCCCCCGCGGCCGCGCCCCCCGTAACCCCCACGGAAGCCGCGGCCGCGGGCGAAGAACTCCCCCCCCCGGGGGCGCCCCCCCCGCGGGACCCCCGCCCCACCCCCACCCCCACCCCCGTGGGGGGGGTCCCCATCCCGCCGCCGCCCCCCACGCGGGGACCCCCCCCCACCGACCCCTCCCGGGGGAGCGCCGGGGTCTTTGTGGTGGGGGGGGGCGGGTTTGGTTTTGGGGGGTTTCGGGGGGTCTTTGGTGGGTGGGGGAGGGGCGGGGGTCTCCTCGTTGGCCCCTCCCCCCACCTCGTCTTTTTGGGGGGGTTTCTTGATGGGCCCCGCCCGCCGCTGGGGGGGGGGCGCCCCCTTTTCGGGGGGCTCCTCGTGGTGGGGGTGGGGGGCGCCGCGGCGGGGGGGGGGGCGCCCCCCCGGGCCGGGGTCCCCAGCGGGTCTCGGTGCGCGACCCCCCCCCACCCCCACCCCCACCGCGGGGGGGTTTGTGGGGGTCGTGGGGGGCGCGGGGGGGGCGCCGTGAGCCCCCCCCCACAACCTCCTCTTTGGGGGGACCCCCCAGCGCTGTCCCGGCGCCCCCCCCCTCCTCCTTGGGGGGTTTTTGGGGAGGGGGCGGCTTTTTGGGGGGGGTCCTTGAAGGAGGAGGGGGAGGGGGAGGGGGCGGCGGCGCCCGGGGGGGGCGGCGGTTCTGGGGGGGGGTCCCGTCGGGGCCGTTTTGGGGTTCGGGGGGGCGCGGGGGGGGCGGCGCGGCCGGGGGGAGGGTCCAGGGGCGGGGGGGGGTTTTTGGGGAGGGGTCTTCGGTGGGGGGGGGTGGGAAACGGGGTAAAGGGGGGCCCCCCCCGTTCTCGAAGGGGGGGTAGGAGTAAGGGGGGGGCGCGCCGGGGTCCCGCAGGCGGATGGGGGGGGTCTCACTCCTGGGGGGGGGAGGGGAAAAAAAAATGGGGTTAAAAAGGAAGAAAAACCCAAAAAGGTGAAAATTCCCCCCAAAATCCCCCTCCCCACTCACCGCAGCCCCTTCTCGTCGTCGCCGGGGGGGGGTCGCAGGGCGGGGGGCAGCCCCCGGGGTTCGGGGGGGGTCGCGAAGGCATCGCCCCCCCCCCAGGAGGGTTTGGGGTCCCCCGGGGGGGTCCCGCGGTCCCGCGGGGGGGGGCCCGGGGGGGGCTCCGAGGCGGAGCCGCCGCTGTCGGAGCGTTCCCGGGGCAGCAGGCCTGGGGGGGCACGGGGTGAGACCCCTCCCCAAATAGGGGTTATGGGGGGGAGAGCCCCCCAAACATAGAACATAAACCTCCCCCACCACCAAAATATCCCCTCTGGGGGTGAGACCCCCACCCAAATAGCGGTTCTGGGGGGGAGACCCCCCCCAAACATAGAACATAACCCCCCCCACCCAAAATATCCCCTCTGGGGGTGAGACCTCCCAGAACCCCCCCAGGGCCCCCCCAAGCCCCCCAGAACTCCCCCCAAACCCCACCCAGGACCCCAAAACCACCCCAGGACCCCCCAAACCCCCCCAAACCCCCCCAGGACCCCCCAAAACCCCTCCCAAGCCCCACAAACCCCCCCAAACCCCCCCAAGCCCCCCAAACCCCTCCCAAGCCCCCCAGGACCCCTTTAAAGCCCCCCAGGACCCCCCCAAAGCCCCCAGGACCCCCCAAAACCCCACACCAGGACCCCCCTGACCCCCCAGGACCCACCCAAACCCCCCCCAGGACCCCCAAAGCCCCCGAAACCACCTGAAACCCCCTCCCAAGCCCCCCAAACCCCTCCCAGGACCCACCCAACCCTCCCCAGGACACCTCAACCCCACCCAAGCCCCCCCCCCAAACCCCACCCAAGGCCCCCAAATGCCCCCCAAGCCCCCCAGGATCCCCCCAAACCTCCCCCAGGACCCCCCCAAGCCCCACCCAGGACCCCCCAAACCCCCCAAAACCCCCTCCCAAGCCCCCCAAACCCCTCCCAGGACTCCCCCAAGCCTCCAGGACTCCCCCAAATTCCTCCAAGGACCCCCCCCAGACCCCCAGGAACCCTCTGAGACCCCCAGGACCGCCCCCAAACCCCCCAGGACCACCCCAAATCCCACCCAACCTCCCCCAGGACCCCCCAAACTGCCCCCAAGCCCCCCAAACCCCCCCCAATCCCCCCAAACCCCACCCAGGACCCCCCAAACCCCACCCAGGACCCCCAAACCCCCCCGAGGACTTTCCCAAACCCCCCCAGGACCACCCCAAATCCCACCCAACCTCCCCCAGGACCCCCCAAACTCCCCCCAAGCCCCCCAGGACCCACCCAAACCCCCCCAAGCCCCCCCCAGGACCCCCCAAACCCCCCCCAGGACCCCCCAAACCCCTCGAAACCACCTGAAACCCCCTCCCAAGCCCCCCAAACCCCACCCAGGACCCCCCAAGCCCCCCAAACGCCCCCCCAGGACCCCCCAAAGCCCCCCAAACGCCCCCCAGGACCCCTCCTCACCCGAGGGGTGCACGCCGGGGGGGTAGAAGTCCAGGTGGGGGGCTCGGGGGGGCAGCAGCCGGGGGTCCACGTAGGGCGGCAGCATCACCCAGCGGGGGTCGAAGCCCAACTGGGGCAGGGCCGGGGGTCTCCCCAGAGCCCCGAACAACTTGGGGGGCCCGGGGGGGGCCTGGGGGGCGGCGGCGGGGCCGGGGGCAGGCGGGGGGACCCCCGCCCCCAAAGCCCCCAGAGGTTGGGGGGCGCTTTGGGGGGTCGGGGGGGGCCCGTGGTGCTGCCACTGCTGCTGCTGCTGCTGCTGCTGCTGCTTGAGGAGCTGCTCCTGGGGAGGGGGCGCGCCGTGAGACCCCCGAAATGGGACCCCCAAATTGGGACCCCCGAACTAGGACCCCAAATTGGGGCACAGCCTGACACCCCCAAACTGGGACCCCCAAATTGGGACCCCAGGGTGAGACCCCCGAATTGGGACCCCCAAATTGGGATCCCCTAACTGGGACCCCCGAATTGGGACCCCCGAATTGGGGGCACGGGGTGAGACCCCCGAATTGGGATCCCCAAACTGGGACCCCCACACTGGGACCCCCGAATTGGGACCCCCAGATTGGGGATGCGGGGTGAGACCCCCAAATTGGGACCCCAAATTGGAACCCCCAAATTGGGACCCCCCGAAATTGGGGGCGCAGGGTGAGACCCCCGAATTGGGACCCCCAAATTGGGGGCGCGGGGTGAGACCCCCGAATTGGGACCCCAAATTGGGACCCCAGAAATGGGACCCTGAAATTGGGGGCGTGGGGTGAGACCCCCGAACAGGGACCCCCAAATTGGGACCCCCGGATTGGGGGCGCGGGGTGAGACCCCCGAATTGGGACCCCCGGATTGGGACCCCAAATTGGGACCCCGAAATTGGGGGCACAGCCTGAGACCCCTGCCCAGAGACCCCCGAACTGGGACCCCCAAATTGGGACCCCCAAATTGGGACCCCCGAAATTGGGGGCGCAGGGTGAGACCCCCAAACTGGGACCCCAAATTGGGGATGTGGGGTGAGACCCCCGAATTGGGACCCCCGAACCGGGACCCCCAAATTGGGACCCCCAAACTGGGACCCCTAAATTTGGACCCCTGGATTGGGGGCGTGGGGTGAGACCCCCAAACTAGGACCCCAAAACTGGGACCCCAAATTGGGACCCCCAAACTGGGACTCGTAAATTTGGGGGCGCAGGATGAGACCCCCAAACTGGGACCCCAATTTCCGCAGCCCCCTCCCCATTTCCCAGCCCCCTCCCCAATTCCGCAGCCCCCTCCCCCATTCCGCAGCCCCCTCCCCAATTTCCCATCCCCCTCCCCAATTCCACAGCCCCCTCCCCAATTTCCCACCTGCTGCTGCCGCTGGAATCGGGGGGGCAGCGATTTCTGGAATTTGGGGTACGCGGGGGGCTGGGCCGGGGGGGGCTGCCGGGGGGGCGCCGCCCCTCCCCCGTCGCTTTTGGGGTCCCCCTTGGGGGGCGCGGCCGGGGGGGCCGGGGGGGGCTCCTCGGGGGGCTCGGGGGGCACCTCCGGCCCCGCTGCTTCTGTTTGGGGGGGAATTCGGGGGGTCAGGGGGGCTCTGTGCCCCCCAGCTCGATGGGAGAGCACCCCCAGACCCAAATCCACCCCCAGACCCCCCCAGACCCCCCAAATCCCCCCCAGATCCCCCAAATCCCCCCCAAATCCCCCCAAATCCCCCCAGACCCACAAATCCCCCCAAAATCTCCCCCAAATCCCCACCTGCAGCCCCAGGTGCACCCCCAGATCCCCAAATCCCCCCCAGACCCCCAAACCCCCCCAAACCCCCACCCACAGCCCCAGGTGCGCACCCAGACCCCCAAATCCCCCCCAAATCCCCCCCAGATCCTCCAAATCCCCCCCATATCCCCCCCAAATCCCCCCAAATCCCCCCCAAATCCCCCCAGACCCCCAAATCCCCCCAAATCCCCCAGACCCCCAAATCCCCCCCAAACCGCCCCAAAATTTCCCCCAAATGCCCCCAGATCTTCCCTAAATCACCCCAAATCCCCCCAAACCCCCCAAATCCCTCCCAAACCCCCTCCAGACCCCCCAAATCCCCCCCAAATCTCCCCCAAAACCCCCAAACTCCCCCAAATCCCCCCAGACCCCCCCAAGCCCCTCCAAATCTACCCCAGACCCCCAAATCCCCCCCAAACTCCCCCAAACTTCCCCAAATCCCCCCCAGACCCCCCAAAATCCCCCCAAACCCCCACAGACCCCCTCAAATTCCCCCAAATCCCCCCCAAATCCCCCTCAAATCCCCCCAAATCCCCTCAAAACCCCCCCAGACCCCCCAATCCCCTCAAACCCCCCAAATCCCCCCAAACCCCCTCAAATCTCCCCCAAATCCCCCAAATCCCCTCAAACCCCCCCAAATCCCCCTCAAATCCCCCCAAATCCCCTCAAAACCCCCACATATCCCCCCAAATCCCCCCAAATCCCC